ATGTCTGTGCAGAACACTCACATCGAAGGACGGAGGGTTCTCATTCTCATGTTTGAGGGTACGATGCTTGGAGAATGCGCTGTGTGGGTAGGCGACGGGATTGGCCAACGCTCTTCTATGTTCGTCCAAACGAATCTTCAGCGGTCTTCCAGTCTCTCCCACGTACTTTTCTCCGCAACCTCTACATCGGACTAGATACATAGTGCCTTGGAGTTCACAGATCTTCTTGGATGAACAGTATCGACAAGATTGTTCGTGACACCGGTGTTCATAGATCCGGGACGAAGTAAGGAGGTCTCTGAGTGTAGGGGGAGGGAGGGAGATGAGTCCAGTGGGAATGGAAAGCATAGGACTCTTCACAACGCGATTCATTTCACGTGCCACTTTGTCGAACAAGAGGTAATGTGAGAGTCACCCCGTCTGGTGATCTATGTGGAACCCATGTTTTGAAATTTCCTTCGAAATATCCGTTGCTTGCAAGGATATTTTTGATCTTTGCGTCCACGGTTGGGTCCCTTCGCGTCCCAAGCTTCGCTTTCGTTCTCACGAGATTTCGAGCGACATTCGCCTTCATATAAATCGGATGAGCACTCCTGGAATGCAACAAGATGTTAGAAGAGGCCTTTTTCTTGTACCAAAGGTGTTCCTTGTAGCCCTCACGTATACGGACTTTTGTATTGAGGAACGGTAAAAATCCATCCGCTCCTGGGTCTTCTTTGGTGAAGGCTATGTTAGCATCGTGTGAATTCAGTCTCTCCAAGGTTCTCACAAGATCTTCCTCTGTTATCGCGATAACAAACACGTCATCAATGTAGCGTTTGTAGTATATAATTCCACTTGTCAATGATGACTTCTCGATGTGATCCAAGAAGATGACTGCAAGCACTGGTGCTATAGGGACGGTTGCCCATGGCCAGACCACGTTTTTTAATTCCAATGCTGCTTCAATGAGCTCACTTATTTCGCTTGTGGAGAATCCCATTGTCGAGACGTGATCTTGATTCTCTTCGAGAAGGGATAAGACAGCTTGCACTGCATCCACATTGTTCACATTTGTGTAAAGGGACACAACATCGAAGCTGGCGTAGAAGGCTCCTGTCGGCACTGGACATTGGTGAAGTGACGCAATAAACTCATTGACGTTGACAATGTGCGCCCCCACATATCGCAGGAGTGGCGAAAGAAGTTGAACTAGTAGCCAACTTCAGCCCGTCCGCTGGGCTGCCACATGGTGCGATTATCGGTCTTATTTTGATTTTCTTCAACAGCGTTTTGTTATCAAGATGAACCTACCTTCTCGAGAGGAACACTGCAGGACAGGAAAGAGTACCCTTTGGCTGTAGGTTGTGGAGGAGTACTACTATTCCGACCTTCATCGATTGCTAACAATGCAGCCAGCAGTAGCTGGGCGGTTTCGGTGGGCATACAGGTAGCACTACGCCTTGGTAAGTCGTATAAGCCACCCTTCGCTAGAGAAGGCTAGCTCCAGAGCCGACTCAGAGGCACGATATCAGCAGAATAATCCTCTGAATGATAGCGAAGGAAAGAAATGGCATTTTTGAGATTCTCTCTAAAAGCAGAGCTCTCCTCAAGTTTCCTTTTTCGCGGTCGTTGTCATAGCTCTCGATTTTTTTCTTTACACTTGCAGTACTACTAAATAGGACGTCTAATCTATCCGAATGAGCTACATTGACGTGGTGACGATCATCATTCACAGCATTTGTGACTCACTTGGAATGTTGTTGAACTTGGCTCTCCTCTACTTTGTTTTGTTCCGAACCCCATCTCGTTTCAAACTATATGCTATATTAATCGGTAATACAGCTATCACTGATTTCGTGGCATCTTTCTCATCTTGCGTCACGCAGCAAAGGTAAGCCTACAACGCTTTAGGTTCACACCTCACTTTAACAAAGAACTTCAGATTAGTACCAATAAAAGCGAGCGTGATTTACATTTCACACGGACCGTGTAAAGTGGTAGGAGCAGAATTATGCTACATCATGTGAGTCACGGTTTTCTGAGAATAGTCTGTTCAGTTCGTAACTTCCTTCCTATTAACTGTTTCGATTTGATGGTGAGATTTTCCTGTCTCTCTCCGATTAGTCTTCCATTCACCCTTCCTTCATAGTTACACTCTGTTGAGGTGTTCAGTTTGGGCTCATAGGCAATTATTTCGAAGAAAAAAAAATACTTAACTGCTTGGCTTTTGTTCCTACAGCTCTGTGGCTTTCGCTTGCAAACATTACCTTGTATTCCTTCAAAAGCCAAAAGGCCGAATCATACCATTTCAGAAAGAGTGAGCCATTCACAAATCTCAATTTAAGCGCATTCAAAGATTTTCATTGCACTCACATATTAGGCGGCGGTCGTGGTCGGATTTCGGTCGTAGACGCGATCTGCCGTACCAGCGGCCTTCAACCCTCCATTTTAGTCTCTTATCTTTCATTAAATGTTTGCGCGCAGGTGCCCGATTGCTGAGGTGAGCTTTTTCAATTTGAGTGTAGGCTTACTTAGCTAATTGATCGAGGGAGGGCATCTTACACGAGTTTTTGAGCCTTCCTCCTCGCTTCACTTTTTACGAGCTCTTCCACACAGGCTCTTTGAAGATGAGTAGTTCCTCCTCATTTGGCTTCCCCTTTGTTATGTAACGTGATGACGTTCATGCTTATGATGTTTAATCTCATATTAACATGGTTTTTCCCTGGAAACAAACAGAAACTACAAGTGCAGAAGGTAGGCAGACAGAAACTCATCTGTGAAATTCAACCTTTCCGCAAAGCAGACAAAAGAAACCACTTGAAGAACAAGCTGCAAAAAAATTCGTGTGACAGGAAAGAGTAATGAACAGAAATAGACGAAAAATCATCTAGGAAAGAACTATGCTTACATGAGATCAACTCAATAAGCATTACATCATCATATCATATAGCACAAAGATGAAAGGTAAACGAGGGGAACCACTCACTTTTGAAATGAACGACCTGTGTGGGAGAGCCAGCGAAAAACGGGGCGAGGAGAAAGGTTCTAAACCACATTTAATGCTCGACAGAATAAGAAAGGGAGCAAAATTGCCTAAACTAAAAAACTCACCTCAGCAGTAGAGGACCGGCGCTCAGTCAGCAAGGCCATGCATCTGAAAAATCTGAATATGTTTAGAAGTAGAAATAAAACGACAAACGAAGTAGCAAAAACGGTCTTAGAAAAAGAGGAGGAAAAGCAAGAGAGGGAAGAGTAAGTGATTGAAGCTAAAACTAAGATAGAGGAGGTTAAGAGGAGGAATAAAAGAACACGTACTTGACGAAGCAGCGGTCCATTAAATTGTGAGCAATCGCGTCTTACGCGGACTGAGACGCTGACGTCTGCAAGTCTGAACGCAGCATTATCATCTCGCTACTGTGATTTATCGACTCATCATCTTCATGTGGGCGTGCATCTAGGCATGTATGCATATTTGCATACATGCCTAGATGCACGCCCACATCTGCAGCTACAATCTTGAGGGCTATCTCGTTCTTTTCTGGAGAATGGACAGTTCCAAATCTTATGCTCTGTTATTTTCAACGCAAGCGTCAGTAATGCGGATTCTTGACATCCACGAAGTGAGCAATACTCCATTTATCGATTAATGCGACACTATGTTCATTCCTGAGGCTACTTTAAGGTGTACTACTAAGTACTGAGTCTTTTGCTCCCTAATGCTGCGAGTGATGTGATAAGGCAAAAGCATCAAATTGGCGTCCAGTAGCGCCAAATGATGCCGTGTCAAGATAACTGCCGCATCTGCGATCTCTGTGATCTGTTTGCGCTTTTTTCCAATCACATCTGTGCATACAGTGGTAGATTTTGAGAAAGGAAAAGTCGTCTCCGAAATTCTGCCAAAGTAAGCAGTTACACAATTGCGTTACGTAACGGCAGGTGCCAGCTGCTCTCAGTTTCACATGCTGCATGTAGGAAGTCGTGTCCGAGTGAGCCCACACACTGCGAAAACTTTGAAGAAAAATATGCCCCAATTACATTTTTCTATTGGTGACGGATAGCTAAAACTGGAATTCCGAACGCTTGTTGATATCGCTTCCGAAGTGCGCAGAACATGAGCTTCCATTTCTTTGCTAACACAGAATCTTTGCGAAGAAATGAGAAGTCTGGAAACTCTGGGAATCCGAAAGAATCCTTTGTTTGACCACCAACCTCCAGCTTCTGATTCCGAGTTTCTCATTGAAGATTCACGACTAAACGCTCATTGTTCTCGAGTTGCTCAAAATCGAAGATTGTACTAGTGGTGGTCACCATTTGCGATAAAAGGCCGAAAGAGTGCTCACTACAGAAAGCTTTGAAATTGCGCGGGAATCGCAAAGGATAGGGTTGATCACCCTTCTAAAAAGCGCTCTACGCTCTTGATATACACGTCACACGGTCAAGAGATATTTTGAACCAAATCGGCTAAAAAGTAGCTACCATGTAATTTTCAGGTACTGTCTGATGCTGTCCTCCTATACTCATTCGCTGTACTCTTTGTTGTGTTCCTTCTTCTTCAGATACTATATATTAAAAAAGCAGCAACCTTCGGCTCTATCGCTTAAAGTTCTTATAGCAGTTGTATCGACACCATCTGTATTCCAATTTGTAGGTGTATCAAAACAGACCAAGGCCTTGACAGGCTATACTGTTAAACTTCAGGTCATACTGTGCTTTGCGAACCAATCCACAACAAATCTGCTCCCGATAATAGAGCGAGAGCTACCGAATTATGATGTCGCGAACGAGGCAATCTCCGGCCACACGGACGTGTTTGAGTGGAAACTATTCACAGCAATTTTGCACATGACTGTGCCTATTTTCCCAGTTTACCTTTGCATTCTGATACTTCGAAGACGAATCATTGCAATGCTCTCGATACAAGTCATGTCCGAGAATACGAAGATCCTACATAAACAACTACTTGAGGTTCATATCCACTCATTCTTCAAACAAGTACCTCTTCTTGTCTATTTGTCACTTTATTGGTACGTCGAATTGTCTGTTAGAAAGCAAACCGCCTTTGGATCGCGATTAGGGCGGTGAACTTCGAAAGCGACCGCTAACAAAGGTCTAAACCAACCAATGTTGCTAGCTTAATGTTTTGTTTGTGACAGCACTCTTCTGCTATATAAGGCTGCCAACAATGCTTCTGGCAATTCCGTGAAGTGCTGGACCACAAACAAGATGTTACCAGGAAAGGTCAACAGGTCAGCCTGGCCATTTGCAATGAGGTGCACATCATTGTACTCGTCTTGAGACGGTGAACTCAAAACAGTCTTCAAAATTTGCAGAACGATCCTCTGAGCGAAGTTATGGAGGTTTTTTACTGTTTTTCTTCTTCCGGGCGCTGGCGCCGAAGCGTTGGCACCTGTAGCGCGACTCACAGCGCTTTTCGCGCAAAATAGGTATCATATTCGTGTTCAGGGGTTGAACAACCCTATAGAGACGGCACCTTGCGAAATCTGAGGTTCTGACTCAGCTTCGAAAAAATGGGGTATGGATAGTCATGGCTGACTGATTGCCACCAGCGATACTACGACTAGCATACTGATGATGACTGTTTAGCTGAAATAGCTCTTCAGTCATGTCTTTCAGCACCTGGCCCACTGATTCGTGCAGTTTGCATCATTTTCCTGATTAACGGTAGGAAATTCCATCTCGAGACCAGTAATTGATGGTGGGTGAACCCAGCCTGCGGCCAATTACCCATAGCATAGCCCACATTTTCCAAGTTAGGTCGAAATATCAGATTCGGCTAGAAACTTGTCCCCAGGGGTAATTTGACCCGCTGAACATGAATATCATGGTATTTCATTGCAAAAACCCTTGTGACATGTGTTACGAGGGGACAAGCACAACACTCTTTCAGGCCACAAAGGGTCTACACTTTCAAAAAAACTGATTGCAGGTCCTTTTATAGGATAGGGCAGGAGAGCAGAGATGTTAGAAGCTTTGTCAACCGTGTTCTTGGACAAATGCAAAAAGGCAACAGATGGCGGAAACCGATCCGACGACGTCCCGACTACGAAACCCACTCGCTATCCGTTGCGCTCTACTGCCACGTGTCAGAAGACTCCATTCATTAATGTGAAGACGCTTGTACGTTTCGTGCATGTAAGACAACCACGAGGAGAGAAACCCTCCATAACTCCACTCAGAGGATCGTTCTGCAAATTTTGAAGACTGTTCTGAGTTCACCGTCTCAAGACGAGTACAACGGTGTGCATCTCATTGGAAATGGCCAGGCTGACCTGTTGGCCCTTCCTAGTTAGCCATTTCTGAGGGAAACGATTGCTAGGGGAACAAAAAGCTTCCAGCACTCCTCTGCATGTGGTAAGACTCTGATAACACTCAGCATGTCTAAGAGACTTCAAATTAGAACATTAGAAAACATCCTATTATATATAATCGGCTATGTCCGTGTGTGTGTGTGTGTGTGTGTGTGTGTGTGTGTGTGTGTGTGTGTGTGTGTGTGTGTGTGTGTGTGTGTGTGTGTGTGTGTGTGTGTGTGTGTGTGTGTGTTTGTCACGAAATTCATAGCACCTGAAGAAGAACTTGGAGGGGTCGGGTCATGGTGGGGATGGATAGAGCATGGGACAAAACCTAAATAGCACCCATGACCCATGGTAAGCCCCGCCCACAGTGGGCGGGGCGTGCGTCGAAAGTTAGCGATGTCACTGAAAAAATCATAACTCGGTTCCAGAGCAGTCCCCAGATGAGGGAACAGTGCAGTAAAGTTAGCAAAGGGCTGACCGACCAAACAGAGGAGACACACCCGAGATGGGCGGGGCGTACTTGAGATGGGCGGCGCTTCCCGTGTCACTGAAAAATAGCTATAACTTGGCTACAAAGCAGCCCGGAGACGGGAAAAACTGGGATAAGGTTAGCAGTGGCTGGCACACAAAATGGAGGAGACGCGGAATGGGCGAGGCGTACTTGAGATGGGCGGCGCTTCCCACAAAGGTCGGTAACTCGGTTCCCGAAAATGTTTAGAGATCGCAGAAAAGTCCATGAAAATGAACATCTGGCAAGAGTCCACCATGTTTGCGGCATGCTGAGGCCCGCCCACAGTGGGCGGGGCGTGCATTTGAACACGAGGTACCAGTATAAAAAACCGTAGTTTGGTCCTAAAGCACTACAGATGGCAAAAAAGTGGATTATGGCCCCCGAGTGATCACATGCAGGAATTTGCGAGGCACTCGCATTGTGGGCGGAGCGTGCCCGGGGTGGGCGGAGCTAATTTGAAAGATTCCTAAAACGGTTCCAGAGCACTCCAGACACCAGGAAAAAATAGTTTAAGAGGCTCACAAGTCTAAGGCACCCCCGCTGTGGGCGGAGCGTGCGCCGAGGTGGGCAGAGCCAATTTTAGAAATTTCTGAAACGGTTCCTGAATGCTCTAGGCAATTAGGTCATCGGGGGTCACCGGTTGAGTGGTGTGAGGCATACCCGTTGTGGGTGGAACGTGCGTCGAAGTGGGCATGGCAAGGTTCCTTCAAGCGGTTCCAGAGCACTCCAGGCCTCCTCTGTGATACGGCCCGGCCTTGCGGGGCGTGGTCCATCGCGCCTGCCTGCATTCGTATGATCAAATGCTCGACTAATACCCGGCTTTTCTCTCATCTGTCCACTTGATCAACGCTCCTTTTACCATTCCATACACCATAATAGTGTTGAAAATAGCAGGTATGATGTGGAATATGAACGTGCTATTGGTCAAAGAATGTTGACCATCTGTTCAATTAAAAAAAAGCCGGTGTGGAAGAAGATAAGCGGGGCGGAGCCGCGCCTGCTCAGCGGAGCCGTTTTGTATCTCAGAAGGAGGCGCGCCGGCGTCAGCCGGCGAAGCCGGCTGGTTTGATATAAACGAGCAGGCTAGAGGAATAAGTGTTTTGGGTCTGTCTGGTAAATAACAGTGATAAGGAACCATCGCTTGTATAACAGGAAACGAGTGGGGTGTTGTGTTAGCATACTGATATTGACGGCAGTGATATTTGCTGTGAAAGATGCTCAGGGGGGAGACTCGTAGTCACTAAGGCAGACGCGTTGCAGATGGTTCGCGGCTCATATTCAACCCGGTGCAAGGAAGTCGCCTAGAACCGGGCATGGGTACAAGGTTGCTGCTGTTTCTGAAGCGACACTTTCTTTAGTATGTCACTCTTGCCAAAAGTAGCTTCCAATGTTGATCGGGGAGGTGTTTTAAGCTACTTAGAGAAACTCTTGCTTGACTCTCTGGAAATGTTACTGACTTATGCAACTTCGTTGTTCCAAGCGCTCTTACAGTTTTACAATCCATTGATTAATCGGACGCTCGTTGAATGTCGAGTCCCCCCCCCTGCCCCCCTGTGGATTTTTTGGGTGGACCAACTTACTGAAAAAAATGTCCTATAATCAAAGAGTGCACTTCAGTGTGAGCAGCTATACTCATTAATTGCAGAAGGAGATAATCTTTATACCCTGTTCCACATCAGTATCTCTTTTTTCCATATTGTTATTTTCAGGCTCTCACCTGCCAGGCAATGCTACCCGGCGTGTTCTCCATTGGCGTTCTATGCTACCTTTGCGGCCAGCTGGGTATCTACCACCATCCGTTCCTGGAGGCATTCACCTTAATTGCATTTAGCATCATGCCTTTGCTCAGTCCGCTCATAAGTTTGTATTTTATAGCGCCTTACAGAAGGGCTATTTTGAGCCTTTTCCAGAGAAAGCGAAGAACGTTACCAAGTAATGGAGAAGTCACAGCTAAATCCGAAACACATGGTGTCAGTATCATCACCAGCTAAACAATGCAGAGATCAGTGTTTAGCTAATTCTATCGAATAGTTTTCCACAGTGTCCGGCACCAATAGAGCCCACAATTTCGAAGCGTACTTATCTCTTTCTACTGTCAAGGATAAAAGGATAAAGTCTTCGCCGTTAATCAATCCCTTTGTGGGATGCGGCACGCATTCTACTTCCATTCAGAATCGTAGTGGCTTATTGAATGCGATGTGGCCTATACAATGACTTGCGGTGGCCAGCCGATGTACAAGTCAGTGTTTTATCCTCCCAGACGAATCTGGTACCAATTCACCGTCCCCGGAGGGTAGAAGGCTTGGCGGGAGTCGACCCGGGATTTGAACCCGGCGCCGCGCGAGTGGTAAGCGCGCCACTTGTCACTACACCACCTCCGCCTCTATCAAGGATAAATCAAGAATTTGTTGAAAGAGACTGTAAGTCTGAAGAACCCTCGACTTGAGATAGTTTTTGGTGTTTTTACATTTTGCAATTTAAATCGCTGTTCTACTTTTTTCCGCGATACTTATGTCACCCTAGTTCATGAGGGGAATGAAGACCTCATCGCCTTGACGAAACAAATTACCTTTCTCGCAGTGCTTCTTCTTCCATACACATCAAAGCTTGTTCTCTCTCAACTACATAACCTTATCCAGTTCCCTTGTTTCTTTGTATAAATTGGGTTTTTCACAGCTATTGAACTTAAATGTGCAGTCACTGGGTGCTTAGATTTTCCTTTTGCACCATAATTTGTGTTGCGTAATTTTGTTGTTTCTCGCTTTAAAAAATTCCAGTCAAACTTCACTATAGTTTTATTGTTCGTTTGTTGTTGCAGTTTCTCTCCTTCTCCACTTTCCAATTCAATAAAAAAATACAGCTGTCTATGTGTCTACGTTGTACTGAACGGGGCAGTCTGCTTTGTGATTGAATAAACATTGAGTTCCACATGGCGTTCTGAAAATGAAAAAATCGCTTCCTGCAGGTGCCTATGGTGACGTAATATTCTACCCACTCCATATAATTAGCAGTTGGAAAGGAAACAAGTAGCTGTTCCTTTTTATGGCACTTCCAACGGCGTAATAATTTCTACAGGGGTACACGGCGCTGTCAAGGATAAACGAACTTCTTGCGCAACTTGGCTTCTAATTCAGCCTCAGCATATGCCAGAGTTATGGAACCCCACATGTACGCTTACAATTTTTCTTTTCAAGTTTTCTTTTCCACCTATTGGCCAATGAACGGCAGTTACGTGAATACAAAGGAAAAGCCCTTTTTTTATCTCCTTTGATCCAGGAATTTCTTCTACAAGTGCTTTCCTAAACATATTGCGTAAAATCTTATTGCCCACTCAAGGCGGACTCTGCTTTCAAAAATGGTCAGTTGTACAGCATAGCTGAAAGATGATAAGATGTCGATCAACACAAAAGTGAAGGAAAAGCAGAAAGAACCAGCTCTCTCCATATAGAACTGCCTCTTATAGAGCCCCAAACACACATTTGTACGTATATAAGGAGAAGAAAGGGCGTCGTCGAGTTCTCACATGTGGGTGCCAACTCTTTCTCACTCTTTCGGGGCACGGCCTTATTGCGATTTTTCTTCACTGTTTTTTGAGCTGCGAAAATAGTACAATCTCCAAGCCAGGTAATACTACCATTTCCAAAGGAGGCGCTTGAAGGGCGATCGAGCGTGCCTTTAATGGTTGAAAATGTGGAAAGGGTGGCTGTTTCAACCACTGGACGTTAAATAGGATTGGACAGGAAAGTTAGGGTCCTGATTACGAAGATGATACGGAACGGAACAGCATAGTGCTCAAAGACAGCCCCCGCGCTCAAGTAGTACATGGTCGTCCTTCCTTGTGCAGGTAGTTCAGCCCCCAAGCTAGATACTATCCCACTCTCGCGACTCCACAGTGAGCGAGGAGCGTACAGCCGCTCAAAGTTCTAGTTCTAACGCCCGCTCAGTTGCCCTACTTGCTAGCTGCCCTCTGACGGAGAGCCGCTCAGTTGTTCTTTGTTGGGACGGCGGGCATTAATCGGAACTGCATGTACTTTTTGCTGACCGCGCTCGTGCCCATAAATAATTCTGCTCTCCTTCATCACATTTTATTCATTGGGAGCACATACAGTCAACTGCAACCCATCTCGTAAGGTAAAACGCGTAAAAATCACGAATGATGCAATTTCTGTGGTGCAAAAGCTCGACATGCACCAAAAGCTGCACACCCACGTAGCCCCAAATTAGAACGCCAGATTTTTCAATTTTTCCTCTTTTTAAGTGTTGTTCGTTCGTGTCTTTGCTTGTTGTTTTTCATATTCTTTTCTTTGAAATGGATGTTGTCCACTACTGGGAAATGCCATAAAGCGATTTGTGAGCCAGGGGTTGCCCACGGACCGCAGGGCGGTGTAACTGTAAGGCCGCGTTCATACAGACGGCATCCGCGGCATCCGTGGCCTCTGCGGAATTTTCAGAGCAAGCAAAGTATACGTATCGATTTGGAAATTCCGCAGAGGGCCCGGGAGGCCGTGGCCTTCCGCAGCCTCCGCGGCGCTCCGCGGGCATCCGTGGCCTCTGCGGAATTTTCAGAGCAAGCAAAGTATACGTATCGATTTGGAAATTCCGCAGAGGCCGCGGCCTCTGCGGCCAAGCGCGAAGCGTACGCGTCGCGGCCTCTTGGTTGGGACGCCGAAACTTATTCGGAACTTGATAATCATGCTGTAATTGAAGACACAAAAAAGACACATTTGGAAATTCCACATGCAGATAGCTAATGTGATAAGGTAAACTTTCAAACAATAGACATCTGGATGTCGAAGTAATCAGGTCTTTACCGACCGTCTGGCGCAAAAATATTCCTTTTTGCGACCTTTCCCCAGCGTCCAGCCTGGATCATTGGAGGCGAGAGTATTTCATGAAATTTTAGGGTTTATCTTGAAAGTAAACGAAATAGCGAAGCCTTACCAGCTTCTGCAATAATTTCTGACCATTCTTCAATTTTTTTGGCGTATAAACGCCCTAGCATTTATGCGCATTCTTCGAAAATAGGGAAAAACTGCTTTGTCCCACGCGGCAGCACGCACGTGGCGAAAAGGCGCCTTGTCGCCAATGTGTTAAAAAGGGACACCCCAAGGGGCGAAATTTTGCTGCAGTTGAGTTCCCATTTGTTGGGACCAGTTGAACCAGATCAGCTGAAACTCATTTTTCACTAGTATTGATTGCGTTCCAGCGTCCCCATCAAGAGGCCGCGACGCATACGCTTCGCGCCTGGCCGCGGAGGCCACGGATGCCGCGGATGCCGTCTGTATGAACGCGGCCTCTTTAAGGCGAGCATATTCTTTTTCCTTTGAATTGGATGTTGTCCACTACTGGGAAATGCCATAAAGCGATTTGTGAGCCAGGGGTTGCCCACGGACCGCAGGGCGGTGTAACTGTAAGGGAGCAATTTTGTTTGTGGTGTTCTTGAGGGCTCTTGTTGCTTTTTTCCTTCATTGAGGAATTACTTATCAGCTACTGTTTCATAATTGATCAGCAATTATCCTTGACACTTTTATCGCGGGAGCTGTCTTTAAAGGCAGTTGGCACGATAAATCCCCCAAGACGAGTAGGATTAATACGCCTGGCAGGACGGAATTCCGCGACCCTGAGCAGGCGCTGCATAGCGCCTTTTCCCAAGGAGGTGCCCTTATAAGGGCCTATGAAGCTACAACATGCCGAAACGAACGTCCGCCACGACCACCCGCCCACAAATGT